CCGCGGCCGCGGCCCGAGCCCGCCGCGAGCACGCAACCTACCCCGCCCGGCTGCCTCCGCCCGGGAGGGGGAAGGCGAGGCAAGGAGGGAGTGACAGCGGCAACTAGCCAATGGGAAGCCCGCAGGGCTGAGGGGGCGTCGCGCGGCCACGCTTTTAGGCTTGGTTGCACCGTGCGATCCCCCGGGAGAAGGCTGGAGGGCGATGCTGCTGCGTTTTAGCATTGCGGAGCGCGGGCTGCGGAGCAGGGGCGGGGACGGCGGGCCGTGGGAGTCGCGATTTTGGAGGGACCCTCCCAGAGGAGGCTCCTCCGGGATTTCCCCCACCCTTTAGCTTTATTTGGCGGGGCGCGAGCACAATAGGGATGTTTATCACCACAGCTCTTTTTGGCTCTAACTTTGCACGTTGTATTTTATGTATGTAAGGGAGGCACCAATCCCTTCTAGGTTACTTGATCTGAGTCACAAACCTGTGCCTGCATTCAGACCTGCAAATGCTGAGGGGAGGGAGTATTCTCCTGCCCTATCTACCCTTCCCCCCTTTTAAGTACGTATCTCATATGAACCGTTCCTTAACTTTGTGCTCAGAAATTGGAAAGTATCTCACATCAAAACACGATAACGTATGTGAGAGTTCCTTGCAAACTGTGAAGTAGCTTTTAAATAAGAAGGGGTATTAATGGCAGGAGGTTGCTATATATAGAAGAGTAGAAAATAAATATGGTTCTTTTTCTCCACAAATCTCAGCCAAACTGTACTGAGTAATCTCCAATCAGAAGAGAGCAAATGTTGGGGTTACCAAGATATGAAGAGTAGTTATAATAACAACCCCATCTGAGTGCCTATTGCATGCCCACTGTGGATGCCATGAGTTTCGCTCATCCAGCAACCAGTGGTTCTCAAGATGTGGTCCCTGGACCAGCAGCATCAGCATCACCTGGGAACTTGAAAGAAATGAGAATTCTTGGACACCCGCCAGACCTACGGAATCAGAAGCAGTGGGCCAAGAAATCTCTGTTTTGACAAGCTCTACAGGTAACTCTGATGCATGCTAACATTTGAGAATCATTGGCTCTGGTGGCTGTGGTGAAGAGGCCATGCAGTCTGTGAGTCACAGTGATGATCTCTAAAGGATTTTACAGTTTACCAATCTCTTTCACACCCATCACGCCATTCTAGCCTCACTTCAGTCCCACTAGTCTGAGTTTCCTGACTGTTCTGTCTTCTTCCCATTCCAACCACTCATTTTAATGTGTATCCTGGAAGAGACTAATTTGTTAAGAATTTACTGCAGCCAAGCAGTACTTTCTAAACTAGGAAGCTTCATTTTTAGAAGACAGGAATTTAGGATGGGCTGGGAATGTAGAACCACCCCCCACATCCACCATACAGAATCAGGCACAACGTTGAAACACAAAGCTATAAGCCTTTATTTAGCATTTTCAATGGTGAGGGGATGGCGGACTGCCATTGTAGACTGTGGGCAGGACTAGACGGAACCGGTGGGAGCAGATTCCCATGGTGCAAAGTTTAAGGCAGAGGAATATACTGCCCCCTGCCTGACTTGGTCCAGATAAGTGCAGAGGCCTCACAGACCCCGAGCAAGTCTTGGGGTAAGTGGTGGCCACCAACTGGTGAGCATACATGATCTGACCTTACGGTGAAGAAAAGTGGAGGGACTCAGCTTGAACATTTAAGGAAGCAAACAGCATTATAATTTTGAATTATGTCTCATTTCTACACTAGATAAAAGTTGGTCTTAAGTTCTACTTTTATATTATCAAATACATGATGGCGACATTTTCTATTTGTGGTCATATTTAGCAAGGTGTAACGTAGGTCAACAAAAAAGTCTGTAGTGTGTTTTATAAAATCTGAATACTCTACATTCCATTTTGGAGAGGTGGCATCATCTAGTGGTTTAGAGTTCAGATTCTGTGGCCAGGCTATCTGGTGACAAATCCTGGCACTAACCATATGAATAGGGACAAGCTATCTAACTTCTTCATGCCCCAGTTTCCCAGTTATTTGGAAGTGGGGATAATGACAGTACCTACCACATAGGGTGTCGGGTATAGCTATGATCACAGATATCAGTTTCAAAAAGGTTGCACATTTCCCTCCAATGGTTCTATCCTTGGGCATTCAAATGTTTCACCCATTTCTGACTTTCACTGAGTGTCATACTACAAAGCAAATATGCTACTGTCAAAGAAGTTTGGGTAAGAAGTAGAAATTAGAGTGACCTACAACCACCAGTTTGAAACCTATGGCAAATTTTCATTAGCCATAGTAAATTCTTAAGCACCTAAGATAAATAAAACTTGAACGTACTTTAGTTAATTTAAATTTTGCTAGCCAGGCTCGGTGGCTCAGCCTGTAATCCCACGCCTTGGGAGGCTGAAGTGAGTGGATTGCCTGAGCCTGTGGGTTCGAGACCCGCCTGGGCAACTTGGTGAGACCTCATCTCTACAATAAATCAAAAAATTAGCTGGGTGTGGTAGCACGTGCCTGTAGTTCCAGCTACTTGGAAGGCTGAGGCGGAAGGATCTCCGGAGCCCAGCAGGTCGAGGCTGCAGTGGCCGGGAGTGTGCTACTGCACTCAGTCTGGGCGACAGAGTGAGACTCCAACTCAAAAAAAAAAAAAAAATTTTTTTTTGTTTAAAAGATTGGATCATTCTATTGTTCTATGCTTCTTTAGGAAAATACAGACACAAACTATGTTTGATATTCAAGATAAGACAAACATTTGCAGATTTACAATGCCAGCAATTATATTTGGTACGTAGGAGTGACATTTCCCATTCCCTTTTGGCACAGTTAATTACAAGTAAATAGCACTGTGTAGTGAGAAGAATACTGGTCTTGGTGTCAGAAAGTTCATGTAAAAATTCTGTTCTGTTTCTTGGGCAACCAACTCACTTAACCTCTTTCACCTTTGGTTTTCTCATCTATAAATAGAGACTAATAATATCTAGCCTCACATAGTTATTAAGAGGCTTAAACTAGATAATGCATGTGAAAATGCTTGACACATGGTGTATGCTCAAAATGAAACAAAAGTAATTAACTTGTGTAAGGCTCCGTGTGCCATATGAGAAAGGCAGAATTATCCCACTAAGCTTAATGCTTTTTGTGAACGGAAATCTCAGTTAAACTAATGAAAGGGAGCAGTCCTGATAGTATCAAATTTGCTAAACCAGTAAGTGTATAAACAAGGAGGATAAAGAGTAGGATTAAGGAAACCTCCTCCCCTGTCAACACCCAGCTCATGTAATTTGATAAACTGAGCCAGGCTTCTCAGTGACTCAGCCTGTAATCCTGCGCCTTTGGGAGACTGAGGTGAGTGGATTGCCTGAGCCCGCGGGTTCGAGACCCGCTTGGGCAACTTGGCAAGACCTCATCTCCACAATAAATCAAAAATTAGCCAGGCGTGGTAGTGCGTGTCTGTAGTTCCAGCTACTTGGAAGGCTGAGGCGGAAGGATCGCTGGAGCCCCGCAGGTCGAGGCTGCAGTGGCCGGGAGCGGCCACTGCACTCCAGTCTGGGCAACAGAGTGAGACTCCAACTCAAAAAAAAAAATTTTTTTTGATAAACTGATGAGGCTTTCATTGTAGAGGATAAGGTACTAAGATAAACAAAGTTTAGGGTAAGGCTTTGTTTTGTTTTCTTTTTGAAAAAGCAATTGACTCTGAGAAACAAAAGACTTCTCTTTTTGCCAATAGTAAAATGCTGGTAGATTATCCAAGAAAATTCTGTTTCCTACTCTGTTGGAGTACTTAAAAAAATTTTAAACTTCAAATGGATAAGTAGTTATCAGAGAGCTATTTTAAGATTTACCATACTGAGAAGAGTGATTAAAAGGTAAAAGTACTCTCTAGAGGGATTAGATATAATAATTTTGATCACTGCATTTTTATACTAATATCATTACAAATATTCCTTTGTTAATGTAGTTCTCCTCCCTTTCTGCTGGAAATTGCCACTTCCACTCAATAAGTCTCCTTTTAAAAAATTGAATTCTGTTGGATTAGGAGGAGTAAACTATGCAAATAATCGTTAGGGAGACTGGCTGGATTGTTGATGATGTCACAATCCCACCACCTAAATACAGGGTTTTTATTGGCTATTGTAAGAGGCAGGGAGAACCAGGCAGGCTCTGCATCACTTGTGAGTTGGAGAAAGCTCTGAGCCTAACCTAAATTTTATCCTCTGTGTGTGTGTGTTTTTTTTAACTTACAATGTACTCTGAAGCATTTTCCACATTATTACATTTCCCATATTATTCCATATGTTATTGCTTAGTCATATTCCATATGTCTAAGTAAACATTTTAAATGACTGCTTAACATTCTGTCAAGTGAATATAGCATGGTATGTTTAACCACTATCCATCCACCTTATTCTTAGACACTTACTGTCTCAATTTTTTTCCTTTAGAAATAAAGCTGAAGATACTATATTTATGCAGAAATTGCATACATTATTTCCTTCAAAATATAGAATTTCTGATACCAAACTGGCAATGTTTTAAAGGAGTAAACAAACCCAAAATGCCTTGTGGTCGTTTCTCTCACAGAGAAATGTTTCGCTCCTGGGACTGGCGAGTCTCCCACCGGTAGTATGAATAAGCTGAAAGTTCCTGCTTCTCATTTCAGGTGGGATGCATATTCTTCATTCTGGGTGCTTGTTCCTCCTCAGCAATGGAAAAAAGTCACGATAATCATAGCCATGAACAGAGGAGGTCTGTGAGGGACAAACTTAAACTCTGATTGTACTGTTCTGTGTGAAAGCCTGGGACTGGTAAAATGGCTGCTTTGTGCCCTTTTCTATCTCTATAGGGAATCCATAGAAACCTCTGGACAATCTATTACTTAAAGCTGAAAATTCTAGACCTTAAAAAGAAAG